ACTCCCTTTGCATAAGCGGAGGGTACCTGGGACTCTTAATGTGCTTAATGACAGCTGTGGTCCCTTCTGTTTGTCTGGGATCCCATGCCCTCCAACTCCCTTTGCATTACACACGGGGTACTTGGGACTGTTAATGGTCTTAATTGCAGCTACAGTCCCTTCTGTTAGTCTAGGATCCCATGTGCTCCAACTCTGTTTGCGTTACTGGGTGGTATTTGGGACAGAGAGGTGCTTAATTGCATCTATTGTCCCCTCTGTTAGCCTAGGAGCCCATGGCCTCCAACTTCCTTTGCATTACACACAGCATACTTGGAACTGTTAATGGGCTTAATTGCAGCCGCAGTCCCTTCTGTTAGTCGGATCCCGTGCCCTCCAACTCCCTTTGCATACACCGAAGGGTACCTGGGACTCTTAATGTGCTTAATTACAGCTGTGGTCCCTTCTGTTTGTCTAGGATCCCATGCCCTCCAACTCCTTTGCATTACACAGTGGGTATTTGGGACAGGAAGGTGCTTAATTGCGTCTGTGGTCCCTTCTGTTAGTCTGGGATCCCGTGGCCTCCAACTCTCTTTGCATTACACAGGGCATATTTAGGACTGTTAATGGGCTTAATTGTGCCACAGTCCCTTCTGTTAACCTAGGATCCCATGCCCTCCAAGTCCCTTTGTATTACTTGAGACTGTTAACTTGCTGTATTGGAGCCACAGTCCCTTCTGGGTGTTTGGTTTCCCATGTCCTCCTACTCTCTTTGGATTACAGCAGAAGGTACCTGAGACTGTTAATGGGCTTAATTGCAGCTGTGGTCTTTTCCATTACTCTAGTTTCCCATCCTCTCTTATTCCTTTTGCATTACCTGGGAGCACTTTTGGGACAGAAAGGTGCTTAATTGCATCTGTGGTCCCTTCTGTTAGTCTAGGATTCTATACCCTCCAACTCCCTTTGCATTACACACGGGGTACTTGCCACTTTTAATGTGCTTAATTATGGCCACAGTCTCTTCTGTTTGTAGAATCCCATGCCCTCCAACTCCCTTTGCATACAGCAGAGGGTACCTGGGACTCTTAATGTGCTTAATTGCATCTGTAGTCCCTTCTGTTAGTCTAGGATCCCATGCTGTCCAACTCCTTTGCATTACACACGGGGTAGTTGGGACTGTTAAAGTGCAGCTACAGTGCCTTCTTTGTGTCATTTTCCATGCCCTCCTACTCTGTTTAGATTACAGCAGAGGGTATTTTGGACTGTTAACCTGCTTAATTGCAGGTATAGTCACTTTTGTTGGTTTAGGGTTCCCGTGACCTTTGCTCCTTTTACATTACCTGGGCAGGTACTTGGACTGTAAAGGTCCTTAATTGCAGCTGTGATCCCTTCTGTTACTCTAGGATCCTATTCACTCCCTCTACATTACTTGGGAGGGTTTTGGGGACTCTTAAAGAGCTCAATTGCAGCTCTGGTCCCTTGTGTTACTCTGGGATCCCATGTTCTCCAACTCTTTTCACATTACCACAGATGGTACTTGCGACTATTAATGGGCTTAATTGCAGCTGTGGTCCTTTCTGATGGTCTGGGATCCCACACTCTCTAACTCCCTTTGTATTACAGCAGGGGGTACCTAGGATTGTTATGGGCTAGATTGCAGCTGTTGTCCCTTTTTAGTTTAGGATTCTTCACCGTCCTACTCCCTTTGCATTACAGTAGAGGGTATTGGAACTGTTAAATGCTCAATTGCAGCTGTTGTCCCTTCTGTGTGTCTAGTTTCCTATGACCTCCTACTACCTTTACATTACCTGGGAGTGTATTTGGGACTGCTAAAGTGCTTAACTGCAGTATGGTCCCTTCTGTTAATCTAGTTTCCCATCCCCTCCTATTTGCGTTATAGCAGAGGATACTTGGGACTGTTAAGGTGCTTTATTGCACCTGTGGTCCCTTCTGTTGGTCCAGGATCCCATCCCCTCCTACTCTCTTTGCATTACTATAGGGGGTACTTGTGACTGTTAATGTGCATCTCATCCTGTCACACCCTGTTAGTGTTACAGCAGAGGGTGCTGAACCCCAAGGCTCTTCTTTTGCACTGTTAATGTGCGTAATTGCATTTGTCCCTCTTCCTCTGCAGTAAAGACCTCACTCATTTCCCTTGTATTCATCAGCGGATGCCCTTTCCTTAAGACCTTTGTACTAGGATAGTTAAAATGAACCATGATAATTGACTAAAACTATGTCTTTCATTTAAGTCCCCTGTACTCTCTGTTTTACAAGAAGGTGTATTAATTACCTCAGTTACTTTTTTCTGGGGCTATTTATGTGCAAAATTCCAATGTTCATGGGCCCTCCCTTTAAACTAATATCCCACCCTATTACATTACAGTGGGGGATGCTAGGGACCCAAAGTCCTTCTCTTGGGACTCTTAAGGTGCCTGTGCCCTCCTGGTAAGCTAATATCCTGACTTCTTAGTATTATAGCAGGGGTACCGACCACCTCAAGCCTTTCTTTTGGACAGTTAATGTGCAAAATTGCACTAGGATTCCATCCCTGTCAAACCTCCTTTGCATCAGGGGTGCTGACCAACTATGGCTGCTTCTCCTGTACAGTTAAAAATATGCATAATTACAGTAATCCCTGCTCCCTTATATTAGAATAGGATCCCATTTCCTTGCCCCATTTACATTACTGCAGGAGCTTCTGACTAGCCAAGATTCATTTTCTTGGACTGTTAATGTGCATACTTAATTTGCTTCTCTACTTGTACATCAGGTAAGGACCCTCCTCATTCTATTTATATTCCAGCAGGAGGTGCCTACTACTCAAGACCTTACACACTACTGCAGTTAATGTGAACAATCTTAGTTGTTTTGTACACAGTCTCAGTTGTCCACAACTGTGCCTTTTAGATCAGGACACCTGCACTTATCGAAGCAGAGGTTACTGACTACCTTAAAACCCTGCTCTTGGGAATGTGGATATGTGTGATTACAGTCATGCATGGTCCTTTGAGTTAACTGGGGTCCTTGACTCTTTTCACACCCTCTTTGCTTTACTGCATGAGGTACTGTCCACTTCAGGCCCCTTTCTCAAACTGTTAATGTGCATAATGACAATTACATTAGGATCCTTCCCCTTCACACTCCTTTGAAGTACCACAGGAATTCTGACCTAAGGTCCAATTTCTTCGCCTGTTAATATTCATGATTATATTTATCTGGGTTCCTGTGCACTAGACAAGGACACCTCCTCTCCCCACTTTCTTTTTCTTCCAGCAGGGAGTGCCCCCTCCACAAGACCATTACACTTGGACAGTCAAGGTGCACAATTGTAATTGACCACAACCATGCACCTTAGACATTAATGAGCGTAATTGCACATGGCTCATCCTATTTGAATAAGATCCTACCCTCTCAGACCCCTTTTGCAGTTTAGCAAGGGTGCTGACCCCTAAGGCCTTTTTTCTTGGCCTGTTAATGTATGTTTGATTATATTTGTCTGAATTCCTGTACACTAGACAAGTGCACCCCACTGCTATCTTCCTTTCCCTTCCAGCAGGGAATGCCTCCTCCTTAAGACCGTTACATTTCGACAGTCAAGGTGCACAATTGTAATTGACCACAACCATGCACCTTAGATGTTAATGTGCATAACTGCACATGGCTCATCCCATTTGAATAAGATCCTACCCTTTCAGACCCCTTTTGTAGTACAGCAGGGACACTGATCACTAAGGCCTCTTTTAATGGCTTGTTATTGTGCATAATTGCATTTGTACACATTCCTGTACGCTAGATAAGGACACCCCTCTCCCCATTCCCTTTGCCTTTTAGCAGGGAGTGCACAATACTTTAAGATCCTTATATTTGTACAAGGTACACGGTTTTAATTGATTACACCATGTCTCTTGGGCATTAATGTATATAATTGCAATTTAGTTCAACCTACTCTGTTGCCCTTCATTTGCATTATACCAGGGTTGTTGACCCCTAAATCCCCCTCTCTTGATCTGTTAATGCGCATAATTGCATTTGTCCAGGTTCTTGTGCACTGGACAAGGACACGTCCCCCCACTTCCTATGCCTTCCAGTAGGTGGTGCCCACTGCTAAGACCTTTACATTTGAACAGTTAATGTGCAGAATTGTGGTTTTCTACAACTCTATCACTTCCAGGACTATTGTACCTCCTTTGTACTACTGCAGGGGATACTGTTTTCCCCCAAGGCCCCTTCTAGTGGACAGCTTATATACATCATTGAAACTGTCTGTTGTCTTCATCAGTAGGCTAAGATCATACCCCATCAGCTTCCCTTTGCAGTACAGCAGAGTGTGCTGATTAACCAAGGCCCTCTTCTTTTGGACTGTTAATATGTACAATTGCATTTTCTCCTGTTCTTTGCACTAGGTAAGGACCCCACCTACTTCCTTAGCATTTTCAGCAGGCAGTGCCCACTACTTAATGACTCTTTCACTTGGAAAGTTCATGTGCACAAATGCAGTTTTCTAAGCATGTCTTATACCAGAATCCCTGTACCCTCTTTGCTTTAGAGCAAGGAGATGCTATTCACCTAAGGCCCTTTCTTTTGGACTTTAATGTGCATAATTGCAGTTATCTATCTCTTCTGTTGGACTAAGATTGCATCCTTTCATACCCCCTTTGCATCAGGGTCATGTTAACCATCAATGAGCTCTTCTCTTGAGGTTATTAATGTCCATAATTGTATTTGTCTGTGGACCTGTGCAGTAGGAAAGGATGCTCTATGCCCCTAGCACTGCCTTTGGACTGCTGCTGAGGAGTGCTGACTATCATGACCTCAGCTCTTGGATGCTTGATGCACCAATAACAATTATCAGAAGTACTGATCATTAGATATGACCCCTGTACCCTCTTTGTATACATCAAGGGTACTGACTAAGGCCCATTTCTTAGACTGTTAATGTGAACTTTTGCACTTATCTATACCCCCTTCTGTTAGAGTAGGAGACCATACCCTTACACCCCCTTTACATTAATGCAGGGGCTGCTGACCACACAAAACTTTTGGGACTGTTAATGGGCACGTGGCAATAAGCACTGGAATTTTCCTTCCTGGCCTTGTTAGACAAGCACTCCCAGCCCCAATTTCCCATGGCATAATAAAGTATAAACATTGCAGTATGCCATGAACTTGTCCATCAAACAGCGACCTATACTCCCACTCCTTTTGCATTGCACCAGTGTATAAAATTCCGAGTAATCATGGTCTTACCCTTATCTTCCCTTGCCCCACCCCTTGCCTGCCCTTGGACCCTTCTTATGAACTATTAATGCTCACAATTTCAGCTGTCCATGTATCCAGCCATTAGATAAGACTGTACTCCCTCGCCCCTTCCATCCCACCCTGCCCTTTTTGCATTGTTGCTGGGGAATGTTGACTGGGCTAGGCCCTTTCTCTTGAATTTAAAACGTTAACAACCCCAGATCTCATTGGTTTACCCACTTTGTATTGCTGTAATGCCTCAGTTGCACTTTCCTTGGTCCCGCCCATAAGACATGGACCCCTCTACTTCCTTCTTTGCATTGCTTCTGAGTAGTGCTGACTTCCCAAAGCCCCTTCTGTGTTATTAATGAACACAGTACTCATTGTCCCATTTTTTAGCCCATCAGCCCAAGATCTCCCTACCACTTTGATGTTGTGTGTTTGTGCAGTGTTGACTACCAAAAGCAGGCTTGAACTAGGTGGATGGGCCTTCACTCCTTTTCCTGCATTTGTTAATGATCCCAGTTCCAATTATTGTCACATTCTGGGGACAGGAGCCATCTCTGCCCAGCTCTGTTACTGCTTTACTGGGCAAAATGCTCAAGGCAAGTCAGGCCCAAGGAGCTGGATTGCCACCCCTTTATTTTGGATTTTCTATATATATAAGTATCAGTTGAAAATTGTCTCCCCAGGAAGGAAGGTTAACACTCTCTCTGCATTCTTCCTTCCAGAGCAGATTGCCTGGCTAAGAATCTCTCCTCTTGTATATTGCTATTGTACAGTGTCAATTGCCAGGATGCAGCCAAAAATTTGCTGTTAATTTTTTATTTTTTAAGAAAGACATCTGGCTTACAAGGTGGAATTGATAACCTGGTCATTAAATTTTTGACGTCTAAAAACCCATTTATACCATGTACCTGATGACCAGTGTCTCTCATTTTACTAAGGGTGGTGGGTGTGTGGATGGACCACTGTGACTCTTGCTATTTTGGTATTACCAAAGGAGTTTTAGAGTAGAGCTCTTAAGACCAGTATCTTTGGGCTCTACCACCATTTTAAAACCATTTCTTGTTCGGGCTTTACCACCACTCGCTTTTAGAAAAACTACCTAAACTTTCTAATCCTTAAATTTCTTCATCTGGAGCACCAACCATCCCCTACTTATTTCAAGAAGATTGCTGTAAAAGGATGAAATGAGAGAACATATGCTGAGGTGCTTTTGAAAACCATAGATCACCTTATTTGATTAATCTATTATATAAAATGCACCTTGCTTAATTCTGCTAATTTAAAGTAGCCTGAAGCACCACACTGAAGTGAGGACTTAGAATGATGGGACCAGTTTCCCTGTTTTATATTAAAAGAAAAATAAGACAAGATCTAATTATTCTTCTGGACACAAATTTCAACAGTGAGATAGCTGCCTGGTAAAACTGAATAATATCCCAGCTTCTAGTGTACAGGGTGTTTCGTGGCAGAGAACTATTTAATATGGAACTGCTGAAGCAAATAACTAGTCATCACAACAGCAGTTCTTTGTAATCACTGAAAAAGGATGCTATTCCTCTGAGAAGGATGTCAAAAGATCGGCCCAGCTCAGGGTACAGTTTGTACTTCTAGCTCCTTGGACAGCTGTAAGAAGAGTCTCTGGCTCTTTAGAATACTGTAAGTACTACTTTGTAGCTATTAAGTAATTTTTTCCCTGTTCTATTTTCTTTCTTTTAGATGCTACCCATAGAACAGTCAGAGGGTCCTGTAAGTCTCCTTTCCTGTTCCCACCTCATCTGCAATTTATATATATATATCATCATATGAGTTAACCAACAGAATTATAGAATTAATGTATACCTGGCTCCATGCTAGGTTATACTGAAGTGAGGGGTGGAAATGATATAGTCCTATATAATCTCATCCCTGAGATGGTTGTATTGTTGAGGAGCTACTATAAGCACACTTTAAATAACTAAATGATAATCAAGTGCTGTCTTGTGTGTATTATAAGTTATAGAGTTTTAAAAAGGGAGCCCACTTGGGTTTGAAGTTGATAGGATAAGCTTAAAGAAGGAGATGGGTTTACTTTTTCTCTTTGGTTCAGGATATGATTAATATTGCAGCCATCTGCAGTAGTCCAGTTGGTTTATTTTAAATGTCATTTGATTTTTACCTCTTTTGGAGGCATGGCAAGAGATAAGGCTTAGCCATTGTGTTTGGCTGTATGCCAAGGCTGGCAAATCGTCGATTGTTAAATCTCATTATAAACTTGAGCTTTTCAAAGTTCAAGTATGGGGGGTATAAAGATGATTCGGTTGTTCATTGTACCTTTTTATTCTGTCTCTGCCCAAGAACAGATGAGAGTAGTGATGCCTTTTTAGTTTGAGATATTTGTGGAACCTGTTTGGCAAGAGGGCAATGGAGAAGTATAAGTTTTATAAGAAAACCCATGACCTTGCCTACTTTATGATGAAGTTGAAATACTTTCTTCCCCTTTGTCTTTTTCAACAGGTACCTTGGTAAGCTAAAAAGCTTAGCCTCCCTGATGTAAAACAAACACAAAGGTCCAGCTTAAAAAATATTAACATCAAATTTGAAACATTTTTTGTGCACATCCATGTATCCTAGCAGGAGCAAGAAGAACCATATTAATGAGCTGGACTTTTCTCTTACTGCCCATTTTAATTAAATCCATATTTTCTCACAGCCTGTTCCCTCCCCACTGGCCCCCATGCCTAAAGACATTATTTGTCTGACTAACTGGGGGTAATATACAAATGGTCCTGAGCCTTCTTGGAAACGTGGTCTATGCCACTGTTTCTCAAACTGAAGTAATTTGTCAGGATGAAACACCTTTTAAAGGAACAAAATTTTTTGAGATCCTAAAGAATATGTGTTTTGAGGAACACTGACTTAAGAAAGTTATTTGAAATGTAAACATGATTTCTAATTCAAGATATCTTTGTCAAAGATATATAATGTTTTATATAATATATGTAGGACTTGGGGATCCATGAGAATATATCCACAAACCCCCAGGGTTCTTATCACCCCAATTTGAGAAACACTGGTCTACACTTATGAAATCTTTTATTGCTACTAATCAAATCATCATTCAATATTAACATACAACCATAACTATCTACTGGAATTTTTTTTAAAGGGATGAATTCTCAGCCGGTTCTATACTCCCACTCAAGAGGAAGGATGGATCAATTTTAGGTGGATTGAAGCCTGCACTAGACAGCATCCAAAGGTGAATCTTGGAGTTGTATTTCAATTCATTGCTTGAAATAAATTCTCTAGCAATTGTAAAAAGGGATGCTCTGGAAATGTGGGCCACTTCAAAATTGAGATAATCCTTGTGTTAATATATATTTATTGGACCAGGCACTGGAATAAATAGCAAAACCAAAGACATGATTTCTGTCAAGGAATTTGCTATGTGATGGAAGATGCAGAAATGAACAAGTCATTATGGTGTTGGGCAATTTGATGAGTATCATAAAAATGCTGAGAAGTTCTGTGGGGCATAGAGGAAGAAGAGTGGGGGGGTACATTCTTACTGAGCAAAGTGATGGCAAGGGGAAAATGCAAGGTGTGCCTAGGGAGTACCTTGGTCAGTTGGCTCAGGGGATGTATAAGCTGGGGGCTTACAGGCACTACTGCACTATTCCTTGCTTTTTGCAAGGGCATTTTAATGAAGCTCATGTTCTCTTAGATGGAGTGAATCACTGTTCTTTTTCATGGGTTTGGGGGCAGAAGGAGATGCTGGCAAAATTATGAAAAAGTTCTGAAATGGGAATAGGAACACCTAGCCTGGCTCTAACCTTGGATCAAATCACTATGCATCTAAACTTCACTGTCTAAGAACTGCTGATGAATTAAGACAAGGACTTGAATTAAATACCTCAATTCCTAAAAATGACATTTTGTCATTTGGAAAATTTTCAAGGGGTTGAAAAAGAAAGCACTTAAATTTTTTTGGCATTTCTCTAAATGGTTATTGTGATTTCTGACTTTCCTCCTTATAGAACCTTAATATATAGGTTGGAGGAAGTTTTCTGACCCCGGTTTTGTGTATCTTTTCCCATATCCCCCTTCAGCTTTTCTACCTATCTTTCTGTAACCCATCTACACATTTCTCTAGCCACCTCTCTAAATTATACAAGATCATAGGACTCATGGCTGCTATGATTAAGCATTCATAATTTCTTTTCAGGGTTTCTGGGCCCTGGATATCAAATGTATACCTGGATGGGAGTTTGTGACTTGAAGTAAAGAATTAAAAGTTGATCTGTGGTGGCTGCTAAATTATTCTTATTTGTGAAAGTGTCCTGGGAAAATTTTCACCAGCTTAAAGAGAAGGCAACTGATTATCTGAACTGAGCTGTTCCCCCAAACTTTATATCTTGGATGGCAAAGAGTACTGATGTGTATGGTTAAACAGAGCGAATACCTTCCTCTGCCTCAAGTCTTACAAACTGGATTGGAAAAAAACTTGATTTTCCCACTACCATATTTTTGCCTACAGACAAGTAGCATTTAATACTAGTCTCCTTCAAAATCCAACTCAAGTTGGCTCTTAAGTATTTGTTTGAGACTTAGCTGATCTGCTGAATTTAACAAGTTAAACTTCAATGGCCATGCACATTTATACATCGCTGTATTGGTGCCATTGTGTTGGCTATGTTTTTATTGATGATTTAGACTTTACTAGATTGCTCTTCCTTGACCTCTCCAAGTTAGAGCCCTGAGACATGTTATGTTAGGCTCCTTGTGTATCCTGTATAAATGAGTTTAATAAAGAACTCTTTCTTTACTGTTTGATGCCTACATTGGAAATGAGCTCTTGATTTCTTCATGTTAAGATGAGAGATTGAAACAAAATTTAAATTTGACTAGTGCTAGATTTCTTAGATGATAGATATTATTTTGTTTGACCAATTAGAATGCTCTTCTTCTAGTTTTCCTGGAAATAGTAGAGGCTATGCAACAGACCTAAGTATTACCCTCTTATTGCATAAAATATATAATCAAATGCTTGTAACAATTTCAAAATAGGGATATGTCTGGGAAATCAGTGTACCTGAGTCCTGTTATAAAATGTCTGAGTTACTTAATCCATAGCTTTGAAAACTTTTGGCATACTATATTTTATGCTATGTTTGTTGATGTGATGGCCATTGTGCAGTGTTGGTGTGCAATTACTCTACAATCTATATATCATTAAAGTTTTCCAGCCTTTCATACCTCCCTTGACTGAAAACTAGCTATTAATTCACTGCCTTCTCTTTATAATGGATTGACTAGGTCCTTCCAGGAAATCTGTTGATGAACAAGAACAAGAGTTTAATTGCTAATGTTTTTTTTTTAATGACTTTTTGATATTATGGATACTTGAATATTTGGGCCTTATATATTTCAGCTTTAAAACTGACTGCAATTAAAACCCTATAAACAGAAAACAGAGCAAGTCTTTGGGCCAGATTTGCAAACAATGATGGTAGCAAAATCCGGAACATATAATTACCAGTTCTCAGGTTCCATTTTGCTTGCTTTTTTAAAACTCTGCATTTTATAAGCCTTCAGCATCTGGTTGGGAGATTTTTAAAAAAATATTATTTTAGAACAGTTTTATAGATTTACAGAGTGATTCTAAAGATAGTACAGAGAGAGTTACTGTATACTCCACAACCAATTTTCCATATTATTAACATCTTATAGTACTATAGTACATTTGTTACAATTAGTGAACCAATATTGATACATTATTATTAACTAAAGACCATACTTTATTCACATTTCCTCAGTTTTTCCCTAATGTTCTTTTTATGTTCCAGGATCCCATCTAGGATACCACATTGCATCTAGTGGTCATGTCCTCCTTAGGATCCTCTTGGTTACGACAGTTTCTCAGACTTTCCTTGTTTTTGATTGCCTTAACAGTTTTGAGGACTAATGGTCAAGTATTCTGTAGAATGTCCCTCTATTGGGATTTGTCTGATGTTCTTCTCATGACTAGACTGGGTTTATAAATTTTGGGGAGGAAGACCACAGAAGTAGACTGCAATTCTTATTTCTCCAGAGTACGTACTATCAACCTGACATAACCACTGTTGATGTTGACAGTGATCACCTGGCTAAACGTACAGTTTGTCAGGCTTCTCCACTACATGTAAAATTATTATTTTTTTCCCTTTTCATACTGTAGTCTTTGGAAGGAAGCCACTAAGTGCAGCCAACACTTAAGGAATGGCAAGTTATGCTCCATTTCTTAGATGGTTTACTATCTACATAAATTATTTGGAATTCTTCTACACAGGAAATGTCTTTTGTCCCCAATTTACATATTTATTCAGTCATTCATTTATATCAGTATGGACTCATGGATATTTATTTTACACTCTGGGTTATAGTCCAATACTGTATTTTGTTCAGATTGTTCCAGCTTTGGCCAATATGAGTTCTTTCAGTTGGCTCCTTTGACATAACCTCATCATTGTGAGTTCTTTCTTTTGTGTTTGAGCACTTTCTTACTTTTTGGCACTACAAGATGTTCCAGGCTCATTTGTATATCTCCTATCCCAGTCCTAGAATCTGCAGTTTCTCCAAGGAGCCCTGATTCTTTTTATTGGAGAAGAGTATTAGAAATCAAGATCTGGGTGCTATGTGTGCTCATTGCTACTGGGGTGTCATTGCTTCAAAACCCTCTCAGTTGATAAGAGCGAGGAGATATATGCATGCATATTAACTCGTATATGTACCTATCTATAAATATTTATATATATAACCATCTGTATCTATTTTAAGCTAAGCATGGGTTCATTCAGATGTCTCCAACACTAATCTGTTACCACATGAATCGTTATAGTCTTCTCTCCTTGCTTATCTGTTATCTCCGACTTGACTTGGTTGGGAGATTTTTTTTTATGTTCATATTAGGGTAGATGAGTGTTTGACAGTTGCCTCTATAGTTAAGTTTAGGAAGAGTTTAGCTGTAGGTTGATTAAAAGTTCTTGAAACTAAAAATGACTGTTCTTCCCTAAATGTTTCTGCTAGTTTTGAAACTTATAATAGGTTGCAGAAAAAAACTTGATCTTAAGAACCAGGATCTATCCCAGTTTCTGCATTTTGCCCCTCATTTTCAGATTCAGTTACTCTGGTGCAGCCAGGTCAGCTGTTCCTTGGGTATGCATTTCTTCTTCCAGTTTTTTTCTGAGAGCTAAAGTACCGTGAGACCACTGGAGGTGGGGAGGGAGGGGAAAGGCATGTTCATAAGTAGGGCAGGGAAGATCCATTTAGTGACCTCCTGCTAGTCTTTCAAAGTGCCTATTTAAGACCCAAGGAGTAGGTTCATTCCTTGGCAATATGTTACCGAAATGCCATTTTCAGTGTTTTAATTTTATTCAAGCTAATTGGTGTGCTTATTTTAAAACGTGCTCTGAGTAATATGATTGTCACATGTATTGCATCTGGATTAGTAACGACATAAGTTTGTATTGGGCATAATTTTAATATTTTATGTTAGATGTTGAGACACTGTTTCTGAAATCTGTGTAACAAAGTTTGACAGTAGAGAGCTCTTATCTCAAATTTTTCCTTTATTTCTTCCAACATTTTATTATGAACATTTTCAGAAAAGTTGAAAGGTTTATATAGTGAACACTGGCATACTCACCATTTAGATTCTATAATTAATATTTTGCTATATTAGATTAAACTTTTCCTTTAAAAATAAAAAAAAAATTCTTATGCACCCTTTAAGTTCATGGAAATAACTTTTAAGCTAAAGGGTATGAACAAAATAGGAATAAAATCATTTTGCTTAGATCTATAGTACAACCATAAAACACAGCGAGTGTACAAAAATAGTAGTAAATAAATGGCTACTAAAATGTGAAAATGGTACTATTATGGTATTGCTTCTTTGCAGTGTAACATGTATCTGCTGTCACGTGCTGTGACACTGGTTGGTTAATGCACTTAACCAAATTGCTCTTTTCAAATTGCTGCAAAATCTTGTTATTATAGCACATAGCAGTGCTATTTGTCTTTCATTTGGCACAAGACACATTTATATATTGTTTTCCTCAGTTCTTAAGCTCCAGGCAACAAAACTATTACCATTTACCACCAATCTGGGAATGCAATCCTCCATTATGAGGTAGTCATCTAGCTGATCCAGACTATTTTTATGGTAAAATATAAATATGGTAAAAATTTTATGGAAAGCTCCTGTACCCCCTGAGAATCCTTGCGCAGACCCCAGAGTTAGAAGACATCTGAATTGAGAGAAGACCTGGGTTTAAGTACCACTCGGCCACCTACTAGTAGTGTAACATTGAGGGAGTCTCATCTTCTGGGCTCCCGGTTTCTTTATCTAGAGCATGAAAATGTTGGATAACATGATCATTGATATCCTTTCTAGCTGTGATGGTTCTCCAGCTGGAGTATTTGAACCAGCTGGCTGGCTATGCTACTTGGTTTTTATGTCTAAAGTACCTTGACATTTTGTTGGGCTACAAGATGACAGATAAAGAGTCTCAAAATTCTTCTCAATGAATATTGAACCCTAATGAAATGTATGGTTCTGTACCAGTTCCAAAATGTAATGACTTTCTCTAGCCTTAGATTCCCTTTAAGGGAAAGGGAATGCTCCTTGAATATGTCAGCACTATAATGACAAAACTAGAGGGCTTTGATGCTAAAGCAGCCATACTCAGTAAATATGGTTCAGAGTGGCTCAGAAGATCTAGTTCTTTCCTTTTAAATACCTTAACAAGGAGTGTGTAAATGAATTTGAGCTTTGATCCATCAATTTAAGAATTCGAGTAAATTTACTTGCACATGGAGTGTACATTTATCATCATTAATGGGGTTTCAGGAAGGAGCGGAGTAAATACGTATAAATATGTATGAACTGCCATGTTTAACTGGAAGCCTATATTTGGGGATGAAGTATCTAATCTTAGGTTAAACAAGGATGGGGAAGGATGTTGCCAAGGGATTTTGAAGCCTGTTCTGCTCATATTGAGAACATCATAGAATATCACTTTGGCTTTACTGGACATCTTATCTGGAGAATAGAGTTGAATAAGTGATCTTCCACATACTACTGTTAGAATTTGTTTGATACTGGCATAAAGGTCCTTATGGTAATTCCTGATCAGGAATCTGGAAACCATACCTGGTGCTTTCTACACCATACTATAACATATAAAGTGTTTTCAAGATTGCAAACTTGGCTTAGACCTGCTTCAGTGAGCTCCTATCCTACAGTAAAGGCAGCTAGCCAATTATTAAAAATGGTCAAGGCAATTGTACCTCCTTGCCAGTAGTAGCAGTTGCTCTGCTACCCTGTATCTTGCAGTATTTTCAGCAAGATGATGACCTTTAGGCCACAAATTTAGTCAGCCTTTAATAAGGTGGGTATTGGTTTGACCCATATTTCCATTTAGTTCTTTTTCTACACTTGCCTAATCCTTCTTTTATACTGCCAGTGCTCGCCATTACAGGACCTTAGGGAGACCAAACAGGCTAGAGAGGAGAGACAGGAGACATCTATATCTAATGTTTCAGGTTAATGCTTCCTAGTGTTTTTTGTTGAGGTTTTCTCAACAGTTTTGTATCCTCCTGAGCCCTGTCTTTCTTCTTAAGGACATTTGAGCACGTGAGACCTGAGGACTGCAGGCAGCTCTAAGAAGCTCTACATTGATCAGATCTTTCCTTTTGAGAATCTGGATAAGCTCCAACTAGTCAAAGAGGATGGCTTGCAGGCCACCTGGAGAAAAAGGTAGTTTGGGGAGCTCATGCTTGTGGGAACTCTGTCTTTGGCTTTAAGGGCTTTTAACTTCCTGCCACTCTCCTTTTTAAAACAGAATATGAGCTAGTTCTTATCAATTCCTACAATTTTTTTTTGGCTTATACACATACATTTTAACTTTCCAGAATGAGTTTCATCTATTATTTCATTTATCCTTCAGAGCTAGGCTCCTTTGAAGTCTGTAAGGACAAGCATCTTGATCTCCATTTCATAAATGAAGATTGAGAGATGCAAAACAATAAATTACTTCCTTTCACATCTCGTAGCTACTTAGCAGGAGAGAGAGAGAATGAGCCTATGCCTTATGTTTAGTAGGCCTTGAAATTATTTCCACCTTCCTTTGGCAGACTAGTGGTAAGTGCTGAGGGTTTGTTGATGACTAGTACCAACTTGATCTGTGTCATAGCCGTTTTGGCAGGCCTAATTCCATTGTCACTGTCATTCTCTTGTTTTAAGAAGTTGAGGGTTTGTTAAATTTGAAAAACCATGAAATTGCTAAAAGGTAGAATAACAGACCCAAGGGCCTGTGTAAGCTACTTACTGGATCCCTAGCCTTCTGTACCTTTTTTTCCTTTTGTGTAGATTTGCTTAGCTATTGTGATACCTGGGGTTTTATATGCCTATAACAATTCTTGATTTCTCTGAATATCCTGGGACTCTGGTGGTGCCATATTTATATAAAGCTGTTCAAGAAATGTACCATGTGGATTGAGTAGAAAACAATTCTGTTTACCTTGGCAATGCTCCAGCATCTTGCTACTTAACTTACAAATTAAAAGAGGGGAATGATGCAAAACTAGGTGAGAGAGAGGCACTTTGAAGTACATTGCTCAGTTCTTAAAATAGTGCTTTATAAAAGAAGCCCGAGGCACTGTGAAGAATTCTTACAGAACTCAGAGAGTCAGACCACATTGTAGCTTTTCTAAGTGGCTTGATGGCTCTCTTGGTTGAGAAAGCTTTAGCTTCTTCTGTTATTTTCAACTGCTTGATTTCTTGACCTTCACTATATTTTATGATGAGAACACCAGGACATTAATAATCCACAGTCTAGAGGATTGCTCATCAGTGGACACTGGAGAATAAAGCACAGTATGGGAATTTTGGTAATTATTCAGCTCTTAATTGCTCTTGGAAATGAGGGAAAATATAAGGAAAGGAGCTGGAATGAATAGAAGAATTTGCATGTTGCTAGGCTGGTAGCTAGAATATAGAGTTCTACACAGTTCTAACTCTCCATCCCTCAATCCATCTGAAGAAAAGGGTAGACAAAGTTTAATTTAACCACTAGTTGCTCATTGGGACAGACTTTCCTAGTGTATTGCATTTCAATAATTTATTTTTCTTTTGTCTCTTCTCCAGATCTTCCTCAGAAGAATAGGCTTGTTGCTTTACGGTGTTAGTGACCCATTCCCCTTGACGATCCCTAGGTGGAGATGGGGCGTGAGGATCCTCCAGGGGAAAAGCTCACTACCACTGGGCAACAACCCTAGGCCAGGAGGTTCCATCAAGATTCTTTCCTGGGCCCAGGTAGGAAGATGAAGTCTCAAGACAACTACCACACATCAGAGGTGGGTAACGTGTCCCTAAAAACATAATAAGTAGTCTTTAATTTTGATCTTGTTTTGCAGTATACATTGCACTTAGCTTTCCACTGAGATTGTTTTCATCATTATCAACTGTGTTTGCTTTGGTAAAAACAGCTCCCTAACTAACCTGGGAAACAACTGGGTGTGAGATGGGTGAGAGTGATGATGTGAAGAGAGTAGCAGGCTGCATGAGTTAGGGTTTTAGGGTGGGACTATAGTATTTGGGAGAGGCTTACAGCTAAATTGTTCTTTCTTTTAGGAGAATGTGGACAACAACTGCCACATCTGTGACTTTGATCATGGGCAAATCATCATTCTGGACCTTCTCATCCCCAAAATCTCCCTTGAGGCCCTGTTGGAGAACTTTGCTAGTCATTTACGTACTTCAAGATGCCTTGAGATATCTGTGGGATGAAATACAAAACAAGCTCTTTGATAAGATAAATAATTATATCTTTTTATGCCATGCTTGCTGATTGATGGAAGGCTCACAACTACAAATGGGAACCTGACCAGAAATGGCACAAAATTATCTATTGTCAGGGAGGATCTAAAGAACCACAACCCTGCATACTCTAGGTCAGTGATGAGAGAAGCTGATTAAGGGGAGGTAGATTGGGAGATAGAGGTAACTATTCCGTGTAGTAAGTCCTGATTGTACAGGCTTTGTACAGATTAGTATTCCTGTAAAGGAATAAGGCTATGATTGATGGTGATGTTTCCAATGGCTCACCAAGTGTTATTAGGCAGGACATTTTCCTATTTATGCCGTAGTTTCCTATTCTGTTGAATCAGGAAGTTATATTTTATCTCTAAGGACCTAAAGCTTCAATTTATATCTATAGCTCATGAATTTGAATCTTCCCATAACTCTAGTGCAATACTCAGTTAGTACTTCTTTATGGCATTTATATGGTTTCCCTCTTGTTTTTTGTAGCTCCTGATTGTTCCCTTCATATCTGCCAAATCATTGTCCTTCCCAAAAGCAGTACAGGGAACAAGAAATCTGAACACACCAAAAGAAGATCAACATGCCTGGCACCCTAGCATTTAAAAATAGCAGAATGAAGTAAGTTGTTGGTGTTGTAATCCCGTGAGGATCACTTTAGAACTAATAGCTGTTTGTTGGGGGTTCGTGTGGGATGGGGTATGGTGGCCTAATGTGTAATGTGGGGCAAATGTGAGATGGGAGAATGATCAAATCTGTATCACCAGCTGGGTGCACTGAAGCAACTCAAAAGACATGACAGTCTGCGTACCAGTTTTGTCACAGAGTAATTTAGTTTCACCTAGTCTGTTCTTTATCTTTTCTGCATAGATCCCTTGCCAGTCTTAGAGGCCTAAACATATAGAAACCTAAGACAAAGACTTTTTGTTTTTTGCTGAGAGGATGGCCCTTTCTCACCTTCTATCGTGAGAGAATCTATCTGCAATTAGATTTGGTGTTAAAGGAAACCCAGTCCCTGAAGCTGCCATTGTAATTGTGAAGGGTGTGCAAATCAAGTCAGTTTTCTAAAGAGATGGGGAAAGGTGAAGCTATAAAATGAGGAGATTGACTAGGTGCTCTCTAAGGGCCCTTTATTATGATATTCACTCATCTGTGGCATCTTGTTTGGCTCTCTGGAAATCCTTCTAAACAGTTGTAGCAGAATGTTAAGAGGCACACATTCTGTGTTTAAATCCTCTGCCACTCATTAGGTGATGGCCTTTGGTAATTTAGAATCTCTGATTAGACTTGTCTGTGAAGGTTAAATGAAATCATGTATGTAAAGTGGTTAGTATACTGTCTGGCACATGGTAAGTATAAAGGCAACCCAAGAACTTTCATAAGTTCATTTGACACAATACAAGTGACCACTAAGACTGTCTATTTTAGTGGCGGGCAGAATTAGCATGTTTTGGCTCTATGTAAGAAATTCCTAAGGTAAAAGTTTGTAAGTAGAAGAGCGTCTATGTTGGTGGTGGTGGTTGTTAATTATTATTATTGGTAGTAATATAAGTGGTATTGGTATAATGATAGTTTATTGTAATTATTAATGCACTTTTGGTTTTCTTGTCTTCTCTTTGTGATGTTTCTTGTGCCTGTTGTGCCCCTCACTGTATCTTGTTTCTTCTACTTCTTACCCTCTTCCTCTGAATGTCTGCCTTTGCTTATGTCTTTCATTCATAAGTGTGTATTTCTTTGCTTGTCTATTTCTTCCTTGAATGTCTTTGCTCTTTCTTCTCTATCTAAAGGGTGTCTTACCTATTTCCATGATTCTCTTGCTAGTTTCTTCTCTGTGTATCTTTGTCTCAGTGTCTTTTTTCTTCCTAAGAGTGGTCTGTGCCTTGTCTTAGATGTGTCTCTCTTTTCATTTTGTTACTGATTCTCTTTGCTCTCCTAGATCTGGCTCTTTTTTCACTGTTCTTCCCTTTGTGTCTCTGAGTCACATACTGTGTGCTTTTTGCTCACATCTTATTCTGTCTCTCTCTCTTCTTTTTCTCTTTGTGAATTCTGATTGTTTGTCACCTCCTCCCTTTCTTGTTGGTTTGACATTTTATGTTTGTCTGATTCTGGCCTTCCTTCTGCTGTTTCTACTCCTTATCTCACATTTCTCTTCTCTACATATCCTTTCTGCCTCTCTTGGGCCGTTTTCTCTTTTTTTCCTGCTTTGTGTGCCTCAGTGTCTCTTTGCTCTTTGTGATTTTCCATTTGAGCATTCATCTCTCCGTTTTTCGTTTCTTCTCTGCTTTTTCCCTTCTACTCACCTTTGAGTATTTCAGCCTCCTCATGAGTCTGTGTCTGCCCCTCTTTGATTTCATGCAGTCCTCTCTCCTTGCATATTTATTGTGCATGTGTATGTTTGTGCTCATGTGTGTGTGTTTGTTTGTGCTTGTGACAAAGGGGCTTCCTAACCCCTTCCCAGTAGATGCAGAGTGTCAGCTATCAAAATAAACATTGCAGAGCTGTTCCTTATGCCAGGCTTCCCTGTGAGATGATCCAAGACCAGTAGAAGGCCAAGAGTCAAAACTGAAGTAAAACCCAAGACCTAAGATGGACAGAAGGTGGAAGGTCCATAATGGATAGAAGGCCCAAAGTAGAAGACAGATGGTTTGAGACTTGAGTCCTGAAGACTAAAATGGAATACCCATGTCCCAGGATAGATGGAATCCTCAGGCCTGAGACCATCAGAAGCCGTGAGAGCCACAATGTACAGAAGGTGGCCCTTATTGTATAGAAGACCTGACTCAGTTGGATGGGAGGCTCAAGTCTTGTATTAGACAGAAGGCCGAAGACCCAGGATATGGGAGACTGAAGGCCGAAGAGCAGAGATCCATGGAAGGCCTGAGACCTAAGACACAAGGCCTAAGACCTAAGATAAAAAGCCTTAGCTTAGACACCTAAGACCCAGGGTTGGAAGGCCTCAGACACATGTAAAGACCTAGGACTCAAGCCTCTCTAGATGGACAGAAGGCCCAAGAGAGACATATATATCTGAAGACTAAATTAGGCAGGAAGCTGGAGGCCCATGACCTAAAATCCAGGAAGAATAGAAGCCCCAAGACCAGAGGAAATTCAAAGAGGAGAACCCTAAACCTCAGCTCTTTTCTATTGCTATTCTCCCTACTCTTGGACATTTTCAGTTCTCCCTTTCCAGTTCTCATATCTCCATTTAATCGCACTTCTTTTGAGATATCTTTTTTGATGTTGCTATTACTTTAAGGAAACATATCTTTAGATCAGCAGTATTATGCCTGGGCCGGTCTTAAGCCAGTTTTTATCAGTTTTGAGCTATATAGCAAGTTTTTGGTATTTTTTTTAAACTTACATTTCTCTTCATCTCCACTCTACATGAAAAGAGACATATATAGATGACATTGTATTTCAGTCCTCCCTTTTCCTCAGAAGCTCTAGGCTGATGAGAAGAGGAAAGCATCAGGCTGTTGGGGAAAATATAGTGCCAGGCTATCTAGAGAAAATGTGAAGAGATGCTCCTGGCCAATGAGAAGAATTAGACAAGAAATATGAGAAATGCCAGCCTGCTAAGAAGCACCAACCAGCAGCACCTTACTTCTTTGAGCTTGGGTGAGCAGGATTCCTGGGGTTTTGGATTCCTAGTGATGGTTACAAAAAAGATGATTGGGCCTGGGACAGAGTGAGGCCCCAAGGAGACAGCCTGAACTCCCTGCTCATAGTAGTGGCCTAGTAATTTGGTAGACTTTGCCAACCTGCCCCTGGGTTTAATACCCACCTCTAGGCTTAAAGGTGAGAGAACTTGGGAATATTTAGCAGATTTAATCCTTTCCTTTTTTTCCCCCTTACCATGAGGGAAAATAATTTAAATGATTGAGAATATATATGAAAGCACTGTAAGACACACAAGAAAACAAGGTGTTCTCATTAATAGTATATTGGCAGCCATGCACAGCTAACATTTGAAAGTGTACTGTCACTTGTGAAGCATTATGTAAATCAGGGGTCATCATACCCTTTCTGTAAAGCGTAAATGTCAGATGGTAAACATTTTAGTTCTTTGTGGGCCATATAGTCTCTTGCATTTTTTTACAACCCTTTAAAAAGGAAAAACTATTTTTAGCTTGTGAACGAAGTGGATTTGGTCTGTGGGCCATAGTTTATCACTGCTGATGTAAATGCCAGAGATTAATAATATTAATTTTCTTCTGTGCACCTGTTCCTGTGATCACATCCAGGTTACCTGAAGAAAAATATGTGGATGTGCTTTGTAAACTATAAAGCACATAAAAACTTACAAGTTTCAGAGTTGATGAATGAATATTGATTACTAGTATATACATTCTACTGTGCTATGCACTGTGGATACAAAGATTTAAAAAAGCATGAATAAAGTGCTTTATCAAAAGTATGTAATACCATGCAGATATTAGGAATTAAGTGCTTGATAAATGATTAATTTGTATATATGTGGCCATTGTGTTTCTGCTGCTATGGTGATTTTGAGTAAAAATACAGTATTTCAGGAAGCAGAAAAGAAAACACATAGAAACTGCTTTTAAACTATAAAATATACTGCAGACACAGAATTAAGCTATTTTGATCACTTATAATGTGCCAGATACCATGCTAGGCACTACAGATGTCCAAAGGAAAAAAAGTCTTCTCATTATCGAATTAAAAATTTCAGATAAGAAGTGCATGTTAAAGTGCTTTGTAAACTAAAGCACTATATAAATACCAATGGGCTACATGTTTATGAATGAATGAATAAATATTAATTGCCTTTTATGTGCCAGTTATTGTTTTGGGTACTGTGAAATCCAGGATAATGCTCCCAAGTAAGAAGAAGGAGGTTTATGCCCTATATTATTTAGATGTAAGGAATTAGATATTGCTTATTTTAATTAATCAAGACTTTACTGGTGATGTCAAATTAAATCATTATATTATTATAATAAATATATTATTATATATTTTCCTATGTTACAGGAAAATGTAATTGAGATTATGCTTTCTAAACTATAAAGAGCTATATAAATATAAGACATTAGTTTTCTGTGTGAATAAAACTTTCTGTGAGATAGACATTATCTCTACAAAATTCTCATTGTGTGGTTGACCCATTATGAGAAAGGTAACATAAATAGTTATACAAACTGAAGGTTTAAGTACCTGTTAAATGAATGAATTGATATCAGTTGCCTACTATGTGTACTCACTATTACAGGCACTAAAGAGATACACAAATTTATTATTTCATTGGGCCTACAGCTGAGAATAAAGCAGTATATATGTTAGCATTTTGTGAACTTAAAAGCACCATATAAATGTAACTATTGACTTTCTCATGTGGTGTGGAGTACTAGGCTTATAAAATTTTATCACAGTTATCATTATACTATGAAAAAAAGTTCTAAAAAACTTGAGGAAGGATTGTTAACTGTTGAACACTCTGATTATATGTGTAAAGGATTAAATGGCTGAAGAATGCAAGACTGGATAATTATTGTCTACTATGTGCCAGTCTCCTTGCTAGGCATCAAGGTACAAAGATAAACCATCATTATTGTGTCCTGGGTAGCAGACAATAATGTATAAAATTAATTTATAAGTCTGAAACTACCATACATATATAAGCAATATGTGCTGAATGAACATTGATTATTTACTCTCTCATCCCTAGAGATAGCAACTGGGGATACAAAAATTGATTATCATTATTATAGAACTTACAACAGAGATCTGTGTGTAAATTTACAAAATCTACTATTCTATATAGATATAAGGAGTTAACTGTTCGCTTAATGAATGATTACTGATTACTTTCTATAGGAGGCTCAGAACTGCACATGCCCTAGGATATAAAAATGATTTTATCCTTATGGGGTGCTCACAGGAGGAAATGAGGTTATTAGCTGTGAGATCCAAACTAAAAGTAAAAGTGACTTAACCACTGCTAAGCTTATTCAGTGATGAAAACATGGGAAAAATGGAATTGTGCAAGGCAGTATGCTAAATGCTGAGCTAGGCTGAAAGATAAAATCCAGACCAGAAGGCTACTTGCTCCTTGGCCTGACTGAATAGATGGGAATTTTTTTTTTAAAAGCAAGACGTTGTGGTTCTCCATCAGTTTTTTAAATGCTGAATGCTGAAGATGGAGGTGAATTAGATCCACCTTGGCCTGGTTTAGAGACATTAAAGGCATAAAAATAAATGGCTCAGGTTTGCTTTTAGACTCATTAATAAACAGAGCATCTTTTATATAGAATACATCATTCTAGGTCCTGAGCATAAGAGAAGTGAACTGGGTGCAGTCTAAAGAGCATTAGATCACAGACCACTGCTGAAGATATGAAAACATCTTTGATTTTTTGAGTAAATATTTGAATGCCTGTTCTCTGGAAGGTACTATGCTAGATGAATTAGTTGAACAGGTCCAGAAAACCCATTGATTTGCCTTGGAGATTAAAAAAGAGAAAAAAAAAGGCATAGTTCATTCATTATAAAATGAAGGCGTTTTTCGTAGTTCTAGAAAGTCCTTAACATCATTTGCTCATTGACCTAGTTTGAAGCTAGAAGACTGATAAAAGGGCTGAAGGTTTGTCCTTTAATTCATTAATTTAACATTCTGCTTTTATTATAGTTAAATGGTTTAAGATGAGAATTAAGATGAAACAACTGGTTTTAAAAGTATTTGCTCATTGGTTTGGTTTAGAGTCAAGAGGCCCCTTGAGCAATAAAAAAGATTCTTTTTAGATTTTCCATATTTTGTAAAAATTTATTCACTCTGAATAAAGTACTGTTCTTATGTGCTGAGGAGAATGAAGAGATTTAAAAGACCTAGACCAAAATGCACTTTAATCTCACTAGCTTATGGTGGAAACAGAAGAACGAATTTAATAAGAGACGGCTGTTCTTTCATTAGTTGAAAAAACTTCCTTGAGTAGCTGTGATATTAAGACACTGAAAAGGAATGATTAAATAGATCATCTTCTCTTTGGCATGTTTTGTAGAGTGGGAATAACAGAACTTTTTATTTATTCATTCATACAAACATTGAAGAAAGTGATGCTAAATGAAATAGATCTAGTACAAAAGGCACTTTGTCTTGGAGATGCAATAAAAAAATAAGAAATGGGAAATGGAATGAAACTCTTCATTAAGCAGAAGTGTCTATTTCAAGGCATTGTGTTAATTCCCAGATAGAAAACAAAAAAGATCTTGACTGAAAGACACTTGCTTTTTAATTGGCTTGGAGACTAAAATATAAGAGAGATGTTATTGTCCATTCATTTTTTCATTTAGTCATTCACTCTACAAGTGTATTTGAGTGCCTATTGTGTATAAAGTCCTTTGCTAGGTTTTCACTTGGCCCCAGAGACATGAAAAAATGAATGCCTTCTCAGAGAACTTTTAAAACTTTCCTTTTGGTCTGTTTTCTGGTTAGGGGCATGGCTTAGTCCCTGAATTACATTGTGTTGCTTGATTCCTACTCCATATTTCTGCTACCACTCTGGCCACTACAATAAGCAGGGTTTTCTACTGAACTTCCTCCTTAAGTTGCAGGAACCCTCCTTATAATAGATACTTCATTTTTCCTAGCCCATCCCTCATGAAAAATGGCTGTGACCACTGCTGGGCAGAAGGAGGGATGGCAAACAACTAATTCCCAAACCCCAGTTTCTTTGGTACCAGCCTTGGGGAACCACTCAAACTCGAGCCACAATTGGTTTTGAAACACATTTACCAGTTTTGTCTGTTTTCAATTCTTTACCTTTTACATTCTGACAAATATACACTGCCTAAATAGATCTCTTTGAAGAACAAACCTCGGATAGTACATAGCAAGATTGGAGATGGAGACATGATTTCTCTTTTGTAACAGCTGCCCAATTTACATCTTAGAAATCTCCTTCTCACCATCAAACCTGCTCAAGAAAGGACTTATTATAGTAGAATAATCTCAGTGGATGAAAATAGCTTAACAATTTTATCATGCTTACTTTTTAAGAATAATAAAAATTGGAAGTAATTGGCAAAAATTGGAGGGAAAAAATACAAAAAAACACACCTAAATCCAGGCCTAACTGGGCTTTGACTTTTTCTATTTTTAAATCACTCACAGAGGGTGGGATAGGAGGAAGAGTGAAAGAAAAGGTCAAACCTGTTTCCAAGAGCAGCCTGCCTTTGTTCTGAATTGGTCTTAAGAGGCTTACTACCTCCAGGTCTAACTTGGGGATTGCTTTTTCTAGTTGAATGCAATTCCAGTAACTGGTCATTGTTGAGGTGAGGACAAACTCCTTTGTCCTAACTCATTTCTAAAGTTTTTGAGAAACAATTTTTGGCTGAATAGTTATCAACTAAGCCTTGGGTTAGATAATTATGGGGTTTATTTATTAAATCAATGTGACCTGTCCATCATAAGGTTGTCTTAAAGCTAAAGTCAAAATTCACTGCAAAGGAAGAAGACCTTATTGTTCACTGTAATTCATACATACTTTCAAAGCATCTAAACTTTAGTTTATGTGGCAAGCCAACAATAACATCCATAAATGGAGAAGGAAATAGATGAATGGCAAAGGATAATTGGCAGAGAGATCAAAGTTGAAGAGGATTTGGGTGTAATGTTTCTAGTTTTCACTTTGTACATTTTTATTTATGCATCACATACATCCGAAATATTAATAGTGTTTGGCTTTTAATACGTGGTATCAGCTGGACTCAGTAATACCCCTTTCTTGAGATGGGGATGGGGGCTGCATTACTGGGAAATGGAAAGGAGAAAGTAACTAAAAGCCTTCCTTTCACAGTTTCTGGCATCGTTAAGACTACCACTACTGGTAAAACAAGAATAAGAGAACATTCCATCATCATCTGATTTTTGTGGCATAAATGAAGTTGTGAACCAATCCGTTTTTAAAGGAAATGGCTTTGTCTCTACCCTTCAACCTCAAAGGGAACCTATTCCAAAATGCTCCGATAAATAGAAGACACACTTTGACTTGTGAACTGATGTGAAATGCAGAATCTTTGCGCCTTGAATGTTTTGAAGATTGAAAAATCTTGCTCAGCATGAGTGAACACCCAAAAGCAGCTGAGATGAATTGGGGAGTATGTTGTCTGATGTCAAATAAAATGTACTGTTTTGAAAACTTTGTATTTTGATGTGATAAGTTCATTTGTTTTTTTTTACTACCTTAATCACCTAGCTTGGGTAAATGATTTGAGGTCTCATTTCTTTCTAGCTTCATTTGCTTTGGTTAGGGATTACCAATAAGCACAAACCCAATAAATAAATGTGAGAAGCAAAAAAAGTATTGAGCAACAGGGGTGGGATAGAAGTAGGGCATAAGAAAACTATAAAGTTGTGAGAAGTAGGATGTATTCAGGAAGGAAATCACTGTAATAAAAGAAGTTAACAAGCCCAATCCCTGAGTAGGTGAAGGGATCTTTGGTGTTCCTAGAATTTTGCATGATTAAATAACCAAATGTTAGATTGGTGACTTCATAGGCATTTGACCTAGTGCGGTGTGTATAGGCAAGAGTTTCTATTCCTTTGTGAGCAATTAAGGTGGCAAGTACTGTCTTTGGAAGAAAGCCTTAAGCTATTATGTGCTAAGTGACTATTCAGTACATGTGCTTTTAATATCGATGCCTAAAGAACTCCTGCTTTACCTGTTACAGTCAAATCTTGTTATTATTAATGAGTAGGGTGTGAGGTGATAAAATTGACCTATATCCTGGTGTGTTGCTTCTGAAAAGGAATGAGCCTAGGTAGCCTTTGCTGCTTATTTCTATTTCCCTGCAAGGCTAGGTGTGTGGGACAGGGGCAAAGTCAGTGAGAAAACCCAGTGGAGAGTTTAGCACAGTTCCTTGTGAAATTATTCTTGGGTGTAATCTGTGGCTCTGACCCCTTTGGCAGCTCTGATTCCCAGGGGCTGGCTTCACCACTCCCCTTGTCATGTTTGCTGTGCTTACTCTTAGGTTTGTGGCACCTTTGGTCCTCAAAATTCTCATTCTGTGTTGTAATCTTCTACTGGAGAGGAAATGAAAAGCACCATGTCTTCTGGTTAATGGAGAAAGGTCAGACATGGCAGTTTTAAAGGAGCAGCAGGAATATTTAGAAAATGTCAAAGCATTTGATAGTTCTTTTCAGCTTTTGTTCTTTTTATGGGGTAAAGATGGGGTGACCACTATGTGCCCCTAGTTACATTTGTTTTGTTCTAGGCCAAGCCACACCCACAGATTAATTTATGTCTCTTGTCAGGTTACTCTCTACCCTTGGTCATGAGAAGTTTCCCTCCCTTGTGTTCCTTTGGAAAAGGTAGTGTTACTGGGACTAGTAGACTTAGGCAAGCTTCTACTATTTCCATTTGAAAGTTGTATAATTTAAGTTGGGTCTAAAATTGAGCCAGCCATTCTTTTTACTGTGAATGAGTGGGCAGGAAAACTGCTAGTTATAGGTGCAACTTCTAAAAAAAGATGGAGGGGGCCAGGACAACCAATAGAAGGACCTTGAGACAGTTCCTAGGAATTCTACCAAATGATGGATCACCAAGACAGTTACATGGTGGCCAGGCAACCATATGAATAGGTCTCATACATTTAACCTCTCAGCTGTATTGCTTCCCTGGGCTTAGTAAAGGTGACGTTTTGAGGGGTTCTTTACTGCCAGTAGTTCCTGCGTTTGCCAGAGCCTTTCTCCCAGTACCAGCATTCCTAATGGTGATCTTCCATTTACGCACTCTGGTTTATTTTCCATGTTTACTCTGGAGCAAAATCATAGCTCTTCTTTAGAGTGCTAGAGTGAAAGCCCTCATCACTTGAATGCATAAAGAAAGATCAAAGGAATAAGGGAATGTAAAGTAGGATGGGAAAAAGTTGGATTTGAGCAGCCTTGCAGATAGCTAACTAAGGTACAACCTGTCACTTTTTGGGAACTCAGTGGTGAGGAAGCAGAATTTGCAGGTAGGATGAAAAATCTTTGTTTCTCTGGAAGAAAAATATGTAGAAGAAGAATATTAAAGGTAGGATGGGTTGTTAGGACCTCACTCTTATAATCTATAAGAAACAATTAGATGTATCCTCCAAACCTAGGATAAACCCCCACCCCTTTTCTTTTCAGAATTGTTTTAACAGTCAATCATTTCTGAAAATATCCCAGGAAGGCCAACTGCATTATAGTGAGAATAGAGGAAGAGATGTGGGATCTATCTATGGCAGTGAGCTATTGTGCCCTCCTCCCACTCCCAGGGGACATTTGGCAATAGTGCTGGAGATTAAGAAACTGCTCTTCTATTACTATGCAGATAGTCTCATCTGCATAATGTGGTAGTTTTACTCCCTCACTCCAATTAAATTCCATTGGATTTTATTTTGTTTTGGTGCACAAGGGAGTTAGCCATGTAATTCTCATTAGAGTAATTAGAATTGCATATATAAATGCACACAGTAAAGATGAAGCATCTGAAGTCCAGAGAACATGACTTGCTCAATGTCACAACGCAAACATAGCTGAGATGACTCTAGATCTAAGGTCACTTGATTTCTAAACTAGTGCTTTTCTCACTGTATATTCTGTATAACCACTTTTATGAGAAGGAGTACATTCTTACCAGGAAAGAGTTTGGGTTATGAGTAGTTTATAGTTGGGAATAATTCTCTCTAATCATAGCTAACCTCCAGCAGACTACTTCATGTCAGTATGCTTATGGGGAGATAAAGTCTTGGGGAATATCCAAAGTCATGGTTATAGTAACTGAGAGCAGGCTTGGGAATCATATTGCCTGAATTTATATGTTGCTGTTGCCACTTACTAATATGAAGTCATTAAATCTCTTAGCTTTTGTTTCCTCATCAGTAAAATGTGGATGATGGTAGTACCTGTCTCATAGAGTTGTAGTGGGTTTTAAATTAGAAAATGCATTTAAGCACAACAGTGTTTGTCACATAGCAAATGAATGCTAGATATTATAATAATTTTAGCAATATGGTTGAAGTGGGTATGACCACTTTTGGTGATTCACCCTGGCTCATTGTAAATTACTTCCTACTGGCAATGGGAGTTGGAAGACATGTGAGCATTTTCCTAAAGAATGGGCCAGAAAGCCTTGGAGAAGCCACAGTTTGCCCATGATCTTAAGGCTATTTTTATGTGTGTGCTCATCTTGGACCTGTAGGGAAGAACTTGCCATTTTTCCTGTTTGTAACTACATGGTTCCAAGGGCACAGATTCTATGCAAGTGAGAGAAGTGTGAAAAATATGTGAACCTTCCTATTGGAGGAAGGGAATTCCGTTACCTACTCTAGATCCTTCCCGCTGGGCTACAAATTAAATTGACATGAGACAGAATAACAGGAGAAAATCAAACAAAGCTTTACAACATGTATACATGGGAGGAACCCAGGAAAACCAGGTAACTCGCCAGAATGGCTGAGCTGCCAGGTTAAGTAGCATCTTCAGCTAAAGACAAAGGAGGACGTTTGGGTAGTGGTTTGGGACTTCAAAGGGGAGGAAGGCAATTCACATGGAAATGGAAAAGCAAATGTTTGGTAGATAAGAATGGGCTTAGCAAGGACCCTCACCGTCTACCTATACCCAGAGTTATCTACGGTGATGGCCTGTCCTGGAGACAAGCCTTTTATCTTAAATTCTTTTAGGCAGTTATGGGGGAGGTCAAAGTCTCTTTCAGAGTCTTTTGTTCTATCAAAGCAAAGAGACACATTTTGGGGTGGCCAATTTTGATCCCCCACACTATCAAGGAGAGGATTTGAAGCTTGGAGTTTTTTTATACCTCTTCTCCATGTGTGAATCACATTTTCTCTCAAAGCAGATGCAGGGAACTACCTAGCAAATCTTGTTATAGATGAACTGGAAAACAAATGCAGTGCTCTTCAAATCATTATGAGAATGAAGCACCTCTAGTTAAGATGAATCTTTCAATCTTAGAATGGGATTGAACCTAGAGTTGAAAGTGAAGGAGTTGTGAGGGATTTCCTTTTGGCACTGATAATAAATTTCTAGCCCTGAAGACATGAACAAAAATGGATAGTTAAGGATCCGCTTACAGAGAGTCATAATCTTTGCTCCTCCAGACACTAGAGGATCTTGCAAATGATGCCTCCCGCCCCACTGAGTGGGGGTGGTTGTGGCTCAAATCTGGTTCCAAAAACAGCAATCTGAACAGCTTGAAGGAAGATAGGAAAATATTTCATCCATCTCCCTTCTCCCCACCCTGGCCCCATGCCTCCTCTAGCTCAGAGAGGTAGGGTCTGAAGCAAGCAAAAATTAATTTTTCTTCTAATACTACTAGCCTGCTGAAACTACCAAAGTACTCTTTGCCCCCTCCACTTTCTCATTGTTACGTCTCTTTTTATATCCATTTTTTGACTGTTACTGTATCACTACAAAATGACAAGAAGTGGCTGGGGGTAGGCAAGGATTGAAATGTGGAGCTGACAATCTGAGGTCAACCCTTACTTGTACCTGCTCATGGCTGGAATCTAGTCATTGTGCTGCTCCAATCATGACCTAGAGTACTCCCAGGTGCTACTGCCTGAAGAACTGGAGGCCTTGTCTGGCATAGTAACATGGTATTTGGCGTGTGGACATAGGAGGATAGTTGAAACCTGAGTCTGCAGGGAGACAGTAAGACCATGAGGGAGAGGCAGTTGTCAGAGCACCTTAGAAGATACCATTTTATAATCCCAAATCTATCTTCTCACTGTCACCCCTTTCTTGCTTGAATAATCATTGGAAAGAATGGATCTTAGCCGGGGAGTAAGTTACTCTTGAGCTACAAGAAGTGGTGAAAAGATAACAGAAGTGGATTCTAGCTCTCCTCCCAATACTAAACTCTTGCCTCCAAAGGGAAGGGAATGAAGAAGAATATAGCTGGCACTGACTAATTTTGCTTCACTCACACTCCAACAAAAGAGACTTTCTGTAAAAGCTATTACCTGTTTTTTGATAGAGCAACTAGACATATATTTTTGGGTTCTAGGACAAGGGCTCTGGCCATGGGTAGCTAAGGGTTGAGAAGCAGGACATGAGATATGGGACTTAACTGAACTATAGCCAAATAGAAAAGACCACTGATTACTACAGATGGCAGGTTGGCTTTGGAGAGAACCCAGAATAAATAGTAAATCCCACCATTTTCAGCAGAAGAGAGTCTTCTGGAATTCAACAAGGTTCACAAAGAATAGCTCTAGTAGCAATAGCCACATTAGGCACTAGATTGGTTACCAATTGGTTAGATTGGTTACCAGTTTCCAAAAGTAAAACAGTCATACCATTAGCTCTTCTGAAAAGGTTAAGCCAAAACCAAAGGGGGAAAAAAAGCCCCAACCAACTATGACTTCCAAATCTAGTCTGGAATCAGAAGTACCTTTATTTCTTCCCTTCTATCTCTTGCCCTTTCCCTACACTGCTAAGAGAGTGCAGTGGCCAGAAGAAAGTCTGAATATCTATAAACAGCCCCTAGATTACGTAGTGAGCAAATACACCGTATGGAAAACAAAAAAAATAGAATAGCCCCTTCTAGTCAATATCACGATTATGCTAAGTCAGGCGTTTTTCCCATTTTATGCCATTCGTAATTGAGCAAGAGACAGGGCTCAATCCCCTCTTTCCAATGCCAATCTTTGCACACTTTTTCCTCTATCAAAGTTTTTTTTTACCTGTCCACCTTTGGAATAAGACATGCTGGAGGAATGACCAGTGTTAGAGGAAATAAGCCTGTAAGGGAAGGCATGGAAGAGGCAGCAGGACTTAGGATAGCAAGGAAAAGAAGGACCCCGTTATCAAGCAAGGGTTCCCATGTCCTGGAGGCCCAAAACAGATGTTAATTTGGTGAGGAGGAGAGTTTGCACATTACCTGATAGGCTGACTAACCAGATACCAATGCCATTTAGTTGCCTCTAGAACCCTTGCCCATATTCTGATCCTTTCTCACCTTAGTGTTTGTAGCTTTTACCCTGCCAAGTGCTGTCTCTGTCCATTTCCTGATAATATCTCTGAAACCCCACAATCTCACTTTTATAGAGCTAGAATTATATATAGGTAGAGCTGTATAGTGCCTGTGTGATGTGATTTCCAAGGTACAAGAAGGCCTTATTTCTCAAGCTTGTATCGCCCCTTCTTGGTAGCTAATGTCTGAAATTCGACTATCTAGAAATCAGTCTTTGATTCTTTAATATGTGATAAAGCAGGGACTATGTTTATTTTATTTTTGTACTTGCACAGAACCTAACAGCAGTGCCTTGCCCATAGGAGATGCTCAACAAATATCTGTTGAATTAGACCTAAAACTTCAGAACCCTCTAGGAGAAAACACGACTTTCACTCCACACATAAGGCAAGACCAGCTCATACATCACAGTTTTTCTCCCAAACCATGGCAGATACTATTAAACAATCCTGGCACATATTCCTGCTAAGCCTAGTCCCTAGAGACTGCTAGTTGCCCACCAAACTATGATCTCTCCTTTTTGCTTAACATGTGGCTGCCCAGCTAGAATACATTTCGCAGCCTCCTCCTTTGCAGTTATGTGTATTCAGATGATTGTTATAACCAATGAAATGTGAGTGGAAGTGATGTGTGCCACATCTGGGCCTGGGTCTTAAGACTTAGGGTATGATTGCCTCTCCACTCTCTTACCCCTTCCCACCAGCTGCAACCTAGACATAATGGCTATCCACCTTCAACCACACAGATGACGATCATTCCCTATGAGATGGAAATACAATGACTTGGAAAGAAACCAAGTCCCTGAATGACTCTGAGAAACAGAGTTGTCCTTCTGACCTGAACTTTTTACATTGGGACTGTCATGTAAGAAAGAAATAATATTTCTCTAAGCCATTGATTTGTTGATTCTCATTCTTATAGTAGCCCATTCTTCTTCTCATAACTAAAAACAACTGGATGCAGCTCCACAATCTTTCTTTACATAGCATTTCAGGTAGCTGCTACTAATAATTTAGAGTTGGCATGCAAGATAAAATTTATTTACCATCCTAGCACTACGGAATAAATTATCAAGAGCAGATCCTATTTTGAAAGCAGACTGTGAAGAAGCTGGAGAACAAAAGGCCCTCAGTCTCTGAGAAGAAGGGAAAAGAGATTAAAAGAGATTGGGATGATACAGACCAACCTTACCTTCTTTATAACCTTCCCTTAGGCCTGCTCTATGGTTCACAGTATAAGTGGGAAAGACAGCTCAGAGATTTAGGACTTTCAGTTCCAGGCTAGTGGCCAGAGGGGAAAGAGAATATCTTACCTGAAATAGGTCCCTTTGATGGCAATGCTAGGGAGAAAGAACACAGCAAGTGAAAAAACAAAAGTATCATGTAGCACCAGCTCAGGAAGAGATAGGCAGGTCTTGCAAAAAGGTCAAGGTGAGTTCTAAGAGTTTGTCCTGTTAATCTTTTAAAAACTTTGGAAAATAAGAATTGGCACTAGTTCATGCACTACAGTACCAAATCTACAGAAAACCTGTGAGTGAACCACATGGAAACAAGATAATGGGTTTAAAAGAAATGGAACATACTCTGTTTATCTTGTTTAGTCCCTTTGTGTTTGGTTTTCACAGTGCTCCAGAGTGGATATTACCCAAGGTGAGGATAATTTGAGGACCACTTTGTTATGTAGTAGGGTTTAGCTAGAAAATATATGGGTTGAAGGCATGTCATCGTGTACCCCATATTTGTGAAAATGAAAAGTAGGAAGTGGTAAACATTGTTAGGGCCAGGGCTCCACCAGGATTGTGGATAAAGAGGAATGCAAATTTTATACTTTCTGCCCAAAGATTGTTTCACCATTGGCAGTGATATTTATTACTAAAAACAGCAATCACAGTCACAGATAATCGTGGGATCAAAGTCAACATGAGGATATGTTATAATTTTGCCAGACTTAACACTCACTCTTCCCAGTCTGTCCGCTCCTCGGCGGTAGCTGTCCTTTCGGCCCTTTTACGCATTAATTTCCAGGACTCGAATTCACTGCCATGTCCTCTGAAGAGGGGAAGCTCTTCATGGGAGGGCTCAACTTCAACACCGATGAGCAGGCTCTGGAAGACCACTTCAGCAGCTTTGGGCCTATTTCTGAGGTGGTCGTTGTCAAGGACCGGGAGACTCAGCGATCCCGGGGTTTTGGCTTCATCACCTTCACCAATCCAGAGCATGCCTCAGATGCCATGAGAGCCATGAATGGAGAGTCCCTGGATGGTCGCCAGATCCGTGTGGACCATGCAGGCAAGTCGGCCCGCGGAACCAGAGGGGGTGCCTTTGGGGCCCATGGGCGTGGTCGCGGCTACTCCAGAGGTGGTGGGGACCAGGGCTATGGGAGTGGCAGATATGACAGTCGACCTGGAGGATATGGCTATGGCTATGGAAGGTCCAGAGACTATGGTGGCAGAAACCAGGGTGGTTATGACCGCTACTCAGGAGGAAATTACAGAGACAATTACGACAACTGAGATGAGGCATGCACACCTAATTGTAGATACACAAGGAATAAAACTTCTGATCCAGGATCGTCCTTCCAAATGGCTGTATTTATAAAAATTTTTGGAGCTGCACTGAAACAGCTGTTATAGTACATCAACTTCTGTTTTTGAATTGAGCTCCCAAGGTGGCTTGTTAAAGACCTTTTAGAAAGCTCCATGTGTTTTTTACAATTTTTCTCCCATTTAAAGACAAATTCTGGAATATTTGTAGAATCTGGATGTTTTTCCTTTTACCGGTTTTTTAGTTTTGGGCTCTCAGGATTATTGTTCTGGCAAAAAATGTTTGGCCAGACTGATTTTTTAAAAAAAAATAATGTGCGTTTAGGGACATTTTAAAAACCTGTACACAATGTATATCATGGTTAGGAAGCAATTTCTGAGTGTAACTATAAGAGATGAACATGATACTTAGATGTGTTTTTTACTCAAGATCACTGCCCTGATTATATAGAAGTTTCTTAAAAAAAAAACAAAAAAAAAAACCACTCACTCTTTTGGTGTGCTGACAGTCCCTAATGAAGACACAAGCCATCAATCTAAAACAAGGGTTGGTCATCACAACCAGATTCCATATTTACATGATGTCTGGCTTCATATATATATAAAACCTGTCCAACCAGTGGCAGTGTTGGCATTCCGACAGTCAGGTATTTCTTCTATAACTCCATTTACCTTTGATTTGAATTTCACTTCCAGCATTATCACTTTTAGTTTCTTTCTTGAACTTTCATCTTAATTGGCCAATTCCCTCTTTCATTAAACATTTTTGTTAAATGTCACGTGGGTTTATCACTGAGAAACAGGCAACACAAACACATGCTTTGCTCTCTGCACATGTATTGAATGGATGCTCAGTGACCAAGCACCAAAAGACTAAAAAAAATGATGTCATTGATCATTGATCATGATGTACATCTGTTATTACATAGATATTTATGTACTGAATAGCTAACAGTGAAGTTTATACTTTATTCAATTACAGACAGTCAATATACCATGGTAAATGAAATGTGAACTGTATTGTTGGGAGACTGGTATTTAACTAAACCATGGTATCTGAAATCCATGCATTCTGGAACTGTGTAAAGTGAGAACTACCTGTGTTTTTACTACTTGCCTTGAATATTGACCATTTTATTATGCATGTGGATATATACGCGAAATTGTGTCTGTTTTTTAATAGTGAGATGTCAATTATAAGCTCTCATATGTTTACTATTTTAAAGTAGATCTTTTGTAGAGTATAATTACATGTAGATTTTAATAGATGGCTCTATTTACATTGCACTAACTGACACATACTGGATATCTGATAAGTGAAAGAAAAAAGGCTATCTGGCTAGTTTAGGCATGCCAAGGCCAATGTCTGAAAGGCAGAAGTCTGAGCTTTGTAGATCCAGAAACTCAGTTAACACTAAAACATTGTTTACCAGACCTTCTGGGATTGATTCATTTTATTCAAAATAGCAAGAAGGAAATGGAAAAGCCAAATAAACATTTTGAATTGCTTGTCAGAAATTTAATCATAAATTGGGGGAAAATTGTCATGGTGGGTTTCTAGTACATTCTTTCCCAGATAGGAAACTCAACCTTACTTTTAGTTGATCATTTGGTGGGCTTGAACCAATAACAGGAGTTACAGGGTTTTACCTTCAAAGAGAAAGTGACCTCATGTTCCCATTGACTAGGGCCTCTTAAAAGGCAGTATGTCTAATATTTAGAATCAAATATTCTAGGGCATCAGAGCCCAATATGGTAGCCACTAGCGATGTATGGCTATCGAGTACTTAAAATGCAGTTAATCTAAATTGAGATGTGTTGTAAGTGTAAAATACACATTGGATTTATTTAAAAAATAATGTAAAAATATAAATAATCTTTATAGTGATCACGTGTTGAAATGATATTATTTGGATGTATTGGTTTAAATAAAATATATTCTTAAAATAAAAAAACAAAACAAAACTGCGGTTGGAAAACTATGGCTCACCACCTCTTTTTGTGTGGCCCACAAGCTAAGAATGGTTTTTACATTTATTAGTTCTTGAAAAAAATAAAAAAGGATAATATTTCATTGCATGTGAAAATTACATGAAATTCAAATTTCAGTTTCCATAAATAAAATTTATTGGTAAGCAGCCATGCACATTTGTTTATGTATTGTCTATGGCAGCTTTTGTGCTACAATGTCACTACTAACTAGTTGTGACAGAGGGTATATGGACTGCAAAGCCTATTCTAGTCATTCTCAAGCAGGAGCGTTTTTGCCCCGTAGGGGATATTTGGCAATATTTGGAAAATTTTTTGTTTGTCATAACTGAGGCTTTGTGCTACTGGCACTTAGTGGGTGGAAGCTAGGGATGCTGCTAAATATCCTACAGCGCACAGGAAAGCCCACCACAACAAAGAATTATCTGGCCCCAAATTTCAATACTGCTGAAGTTGAGAAACCCTGGCCTAATCTTTTTACTCCTTGGCTGTTTACAGAAAAAGTTGTCCAATCCTTGGTCTACAAACAAATCATTAAGTTTATAGATATGGAAGCAGAGGCATGGTACTGATTTGCTGACTAATGGGTATATGTTACTTTAGAGAATTTAGCTGTGTTATAGTCATATACCCAATATTATATCTAATGAAAATGAGAAAAAGGAGCTCAGATAAATGGTCAGTTTGTCTGCAAGGTACCCAGTTTAAAACGGGCCACATATTTTCTTATTTTATCCAATTATATTTGAATAATCATATCCTCTTGAAAGGGTAAAAAATTGCCAAGAAGCAACATCTTTGGGGAGTATGAGTAGGCTTTACTTCTGTTGACCCTTCTAATAAAGTTGAGGCTGACTTACCTTGGGGATGGAGCATAAGTGGCACTGATGAAACTGAAAAGAAAGAGTGGAGAAAATATGATATTAAATGCCCAGTGATTGGGAAAGGTGGAGGGCCTGATGAAGGTGCAAATTGTAGCTGTTGCTGAAAAGCCTTCTGTGCTGGAGAGTGAAGCTGCTTGGGTGGTGGTGGAGGTGGTGATGGTGTGGCAGTAGTAGCTGCTGAGGAGGTTGTTGCTAGTTTTCATGATCCCCAAGACCCTTTAAAAAGAGGAGGTGGGTGGAATATGAGAAGAAAGATGGTCCAAAGGAAGCATGCAACTGTCCATAAGTTTATGATTCTTATACTCAAAAGATCATCACAGAATCTTTTTGTACTTTTTTGGGGTTGGGGAGTGTCCTGATGACCTGCTAAGGTGTTAGCCACTAGAGACACTATTCAAAAAAGGTAATCTTTGTATTTACATAGTTTGGCTGAGGAGAGAGCTTAAAACACATTAGTTTAGCTGAGAAAAGAGACAGTTGAAAAAATGCTAACTTTATAAATTATCTAGTTGAAGCTCCTTATTTTAAAGGGGGAGACCTTGAGGTCTGAGAGTTTAAATTAGTTACTTGAAATTGGAGATAATTTGTACAAAGCCAGAAGTAGGACTCAGACCTATTAAATACCTGTCTGGTCACCATGTTGCCATCCTTCTTTACCTTCCCTCTGACTTCTGTATATAATTCCTAGGAATAAAATAAATAGCCTGGGAAATCCACACTCTGGGTTCTCAGTTCTGGAGTCATAAATGATTATAACTGTAAATATTTAAAAAGGAGGGTTTGGGATCTATAAAGGAGTTCTCTGCTCTGTAAAAGCTATGGAATAAAAATGGTATAGGAAATGAACCTTGAAAATGAACAAAAAGAAAAGAACAAAGATATAGAGGAACTTGAGGATTGCTTTGGGGAGGATAAGAACAAAAGTAGAGTTAAGTGGTATCAAACATATGTAAAGACAGGCCTGAGGTAGTTACCTGGCTGGGGTTCTTCACAGCATGTTTGGAGTCTTCCATTCTCCTAATAAATTCTGTTTCTCCACCGATCACATAAGTTGTTCTACTTAATTTCCTTATACCAAACTAGATATGTTTCTCACTGTGTAATTGCACATTCATTTGTGGGATCATTTGATTAATGTGTGTCCTCCTCCCTCTCCAGACTGGAAGCTTCCTGAAGACAGGGGCCAACGTCTATTTTTAACCACCTTTGTATCTCCATTATCTGGCACATTCAGTCTCTCAATACATATTTTTTGCCTGAATGAATGAATAACCCATCAATTCAGCCCAAGGTGATATCTAGGTTCCTGGTTTGATTAGAATTGCAATTCATAATCTACATGTTCTCCCTCCATACCTTTCCATTCCTAGCCTAAAAACCCCTTTTCTTACCTTCATCCCCGCAGAAGAGATGCCTCACAGGGAAGTTCTTCAGAGACTTCACATCTTCACTTCTTTACTACTTCATTCCTCAATCTACTATAATTAGCCTACCACCCCCAAAACTCCACTGCAAGAGCTTTGGCAAAAGTCACCAATAATCCCCCTATCTAGTAGACTCTATGCTCATATGAATTTATGTAGACATGCAAAAGACCTGGAATATCCATAACAAACTTCAAATAGAATAACAAATGTGGAACACTTTACCTGACTTTAAAACTAACTATAAACCTAAGTAATCAATCACTTTGATACTCATGGTCAGACAAACAAACATCAATTGAACTCAATGGAACAGAATGGTAAGTTCAGGAATAGACCAATACAATTTGTCAATGGTACCAAAGAAATTAAACAGGAAAAAGAAAGTCTTCATCAAATGGTGCTGGAACAATTGGATATGCAAATACAAAAAGTACCTTGATCCCCACATTACATCGCACACAACAATTAATTTGAGATTGCTTATTATCTAAACATAAAAGCTAAAAATAAAAGCTAAAATAAAAGCCCCTGGTAGAAAATATAGGAGACTATATTCCTAATCTTAGAGGAACAAGGACTTCACAGGACTCAAAAAGCACTAATCATAAAAGAAAATATTGGTGAATTGGACTTCACCAGAATTAAAATCTTATTCATCAAAATATATCATTAAGAATGTAAACAGGTAAACTACAGGCTGAGGGGAAACATTTGGAATATGTATATCTGAGAAAGGACGGTTTCAAAAATATATAAAGAACACATACAAATCAATAATAAAAGGATAAGTCAATACAGAAAAACTGGCAGAGTAGGGAACGCTAAAAGTATGTCCTTCTACAAAATCAAAAATTAAGCTGGCACAAACTGTCAGAATTAACTTTTTAAGAACTCTGGAATCTAACCAAACGCTTACAGGAGAGAGACATCAGAAAGATGGCAGACTAGGAAGTTCCAGGCCCTCATTCCCCCACAGAAACATTAAATAAACATTTATAAGACTGACTACAATAACTTTATAGGAGCTCTGGAAATCAGTCGAACATCTACAGCAATCATGCAAATACTTAATCAAGAAAAAGCCATGTTTAAAATGTCAGGAAATTTAGTGGAAACTTTACTTGCCCTTCCTCCATCCCTGCCCAGTATGGCACAGTGCAGTTGAGAGAAGCAGTGGTTTGATCCTCAGTTACTTTTTGTGAAGTAGAGAGAGCTGGGTGGACTGAATTTGCTATCTTCTAACCTGTCTGTGCACTGTATGAAGGAATGATATCTGTGATGCTTAACTCAGAGTTCAAAGTGCCCAAAGCAGCTTGGATCTCAGGCTAAGGGAAGGAATAGGAAGCTGAGGGCATGGCTAGTGAAAACCCACCAGATGCCTGGATGCAAGAGATTACTGATTGAAGATTACAGTATAACAGCTAAGGCCCAGCGTAGAAACAGCGGTGAGCCTCTTAGGGAAATGAAGACATTTAAAAGCAACCATGTATACACCTCCTGATTTCAAAACATACTACAAAACTACAGTAATCAAGAGTGTGGTACCAGCATAAAGATAGACACATAGACCAAGGGAATGGGATAGAGAGCCCAGAAACATAAAGCCTTCCATCTAGGAGCAAATGATTTTCCAAAAGGGTGCCAAAACCATTCAATGGGGAAAGGACATTTTTCCAACAAATGGTGTTGGGAAAACTGGATATCCACATGCAAAAGAATGAAACTGGACTCAACACCATACATGAAAGCTAATTTAAAATGGATCAAAGACCTAAACATAAGAGCTAAAATTATAAAACTTTCAGAAGAAAATATAGGGGGAAACCTTCATGACATTGGATTTGGAAATGACTTCTTGAATATGATATCAAAAGCATAGACAACAGAAGAAAAAAATGGATAAATTGACTACATTACATGAAATAAAGAGCGTTTGTGCATCAAAGGACACCAACAACAGAGTAAAGAGGCAACCCATCGAGTGGGAGAAAATATATGCAGAGCATATAGCTTAGAAGGGGCTAGTATTGAGAATATATAAAGAACTCCTACAACTCAAAAGCAAAGCCAAAAAACAAACCAATGAAACAATGAGGGCACCTCAGCGGTGAAGGCAGCACACAACGCTGCGCCGTCTTGGCCGCCCCGCCCCGCCCCGCCCCTCCCCTTCTGCCCTTTCCACCTTCCTGCCACCGCCTCTCCTCGACTGAGTCCTCGTCTTACCTCGCCAGCTCGGCTCTGGCCCTTGAACCCCGCAGCTAGGCATCCCGCATTAGGTGGGCTCCACTCAAGCCTCCTGGGCCAATGGCAAGCGGCGCGCTGCCCAGCCGCTGACCTTACACATGTTTTAGAAGAGGCTCCTGTTCTGCTGCTTTCCCGAGGAGCCACGGCCGCCTCTGCTACCGCTCTGGATCCTGCCTCTGAGGGGCCCTGCATCTCGGGCAGCCCCTCGGCGTCCCGGAGCTGCCCCCAAAGCGCAAAATTGATGTGGGGGTTATGACTGAGTCTTGGGCTTCCCTCAGCAAGCGCTGCGACGGTGGAGACATGTGCGCTCCAGGTGGCACAGAGCGTGAGGGCCGTGTCCTCCAGATGGGCGAGCCGCTGCTCCTGCAGCCACCCATGCGGCCCTGCCTCGTAGGGGAGCAGCCGCGTAGGTGCTCGGATCTCAACGGGTGGTGGCGACAACAGAATGGGTTGCTCAGAGCCCCCACGGGGAGATGGGGGGCCTGCACCGTGACAGCTCAATGAATTTTCGCAGTATAATACCTTTCGGTACTGGAGGAATCTTTTACCACTTATTGATCTGGCAGACATTGAAGATGTAAATAAAGACAACCTGACAGAAGCAACGCTTCAGGGCAATAATGAAGTGGTTGAGATTGACATGGAGTCCTGATAGAAGGAGCTGAAGAAATGGGTTTTTCTGAATTTGAGGAGACATCTCTAAATGAATTTTTGTATTCTTAAGGAAAAAAGTTATTTTCTATAGTTCATGTGATAGCATTCCCAAACCTGTAAAATGAGGAAAAGTTGCTTTGAAGACAAATCCTTGCAGTCACTACTGAACGGTCCAGCAGAGATTCGTCAAGGATATAGTGTAGTTACAGGGGAAGTATTTTATGTATACATTCTTAAACAAATGATGAAAGAGATTGAATAGGCAATTCTTCTATAAAGTTATACAAATTTCCAATAAGCCAATGAAAAGGTGCTCAACATCAGTAATCATTAGGGAAATGCAAATCAAAACCTCAGTGAGATACCACTTCACACCCATTGTGATGACTGGCTTTTTTTTTGTTTTTTAAGTAAATAAGTATTGAGAAGCATCTGGAGAAATAGGAACCCTTGTGCATTAATGAATGGAATGTAAAATTATGCAGCAGCTATGGAAAATGGTATGTCAGTTCCTCAAAAATATCAAAAATAGAATTACTGTATGATCCAGCCATTCCACTTCTGGATACATACCTAAAAGAATTGAAACCAGGAACTTGAAAAGATGCTTGTAAAACCTATCTTCAAAGCAGCATTATTCACAATAGCTAAAAGGTGTAAGGAAAAAGTCGACAGAGTTAAAGCAACCCATGGAATGGGAGAAAATATTTGCAAACCATATATCTGATAATGGGTTAATACCCAAAATATATAGGGAGCTCCTCCAACTCAATAGCTTAAAAACAACCTGATTAAAACATGGGCAGAAGGCTTGAAACTTGTCCAAGGAAGACATTTGAATGGCCAACAGCTATATGAAAAGGTGCTTGACATTACTAATTATCAGGGAAGTTCAAATCAAGACCACAATGAGACATCACAACACATCTTATTAAGATGGCTATGATTTAAAAAAACAAAAGAAAATAAAAGAAAATGGGTGTTGGTGGGGACGTATAGAAATCAAAACCCTAGGACATGGTTGGTTGGAATGTAAAATGGTGCAGCCATTATGAAAAATAGTATGAAGGTTTTTCAAAAAATTGAAAAATAGAACTATCCTATGATCCAGCAATACCACTTTTGGGTACTTATCCAAGAAAATTGCAACCAGAATCTCTAAGAGATTTGCACTCCCATATTCATTGCAGCATTATTCACAATAGTCAAGATGTTGAAACAACCTAAATGTTTATTTACAAATGAATAGATAAAGGAAATGTGGTATATATTTACATTGGAATATTTTTCAGCCTTAAAAATGATGGAAATCCTACCATATGCAACAATACATGGATGGATAGTGAGGACATCATGCTAAGTGAAATACTCCAGTCACAGAAGGACAACTACTGCATGATTCTGCTTATATATGGTATGTAAAATAGTCAAACTTATAGAAGCAAAAAATTAAATGGTTGAATGCCAGGGCCCGAGGGAGGCAGAAGTGCAGAGTTGCTATTCAGCAGGTATAAAATTTCACTTATGCAAGATGAATAAACTCTAGAGGTGTGCTGTATAGCACTGTGCCTATAGTTGACAATATGCAAGTGTACACTTAAAAATTTGTTAAGAAGTTGGATCTCATGATAAATGATCTTAACACAATAATAAAAATATACAGATGGGTAATATAATTAGAGACATGGAAACTCTAAGCAAGAATGAAAAGGAAATGCTAGAAATTGAAAACATAACAGAAACAAAGAATGCTTTTGATGAGCTCATGAATGGATTGGATTCAAATAAGGAAAGAATCAGTAAGCTTGATGATATGCCAATAGAAACATCTAGAACTGATATGCAAAGAGAAAAATGAAACAAATGCAGCAGAATATCAAAGAACTATGGGATAATTGAAAAGTCATTATTGGTCATTTAATGGGAATATTTGAAGGAGAGAAAAAGAGGGAATAGAAGAAATAGTTGAAGAAATTATACTGAGAAATACCCAAAATTAAGGATAGGCACCAAACCACAGATCCAGGAAGCTCAGAGAACAACAAGAATACCAAAATTTCTACACCTTGGAGTCTCATATTCAAACTGGAAAAAATAAAAGACAGAGGAAAAATCTTGAAAAAATTCAGGGGAGCAAAACACGTTATAGAGGAGCAAGGATATGAATTACATTGGACTTCTATTCATAAACCTTGCAAGCAGGAATAAAGTGCAGTGAAGCATTTAAAGCATTGAAAAAAACTCCCCACCAAATTATGTATCCAGCAAAATTATCCTTCAAAGGCGAAGGAGAAATAAATCTTTTCTTAGACAAACAAAAATTGAAGAAATTTCAGACAGTGTCAAGATTGCAGCATAGGTGGACTCTGAAGTCACTTCCTCCCATGGACACAACAAATTTACAACTACTCTTGGAAAAATTACCCCTGAGAGAGAACTGAAAACTGGATAAAAAGAGCCCCCACAATAAGGGACAGTCCTGACTGAGGTGGAAGAGGCAGAAATTCCTTTCTGGAGAGAAAAAAAGCCACCTTTGTGAGCTGTAGCACTTCACTGCTGGCCAGGAGCAATCCTAAGGTATGAAGCTTTCCCTGGAGGAGTGGGGGTCTGAGCAGGGGAGCATTACCTCTATAAACAGCTTTTGGACTCAGAACAACCAAGACGAGTGTCATAATATCTGGCTTTGGTGGCTACTAACAACAATGGGGAATACCTCCAGAAAAGCTATCAGACATAAGGGGAAAAAACCCTGTTTTTAAAGGGCCCATGCACAAATTAGCTCATTTCGGAAAGCAACCTAAAAGCACCAGAAAGAAAGGTGCACAGTCCTTTGGTGAAAAGAAACTCACCTGATAGTCTCTGGGTGCATCTTGGTGAGAGATGAGACCTCTCCAGGGACTGAGACATTGGTGGCAGCCATTACTGTGACCTGGTATAAGTGTGTTGACACAGACCCTGGCAGACACCATTGGAGTTCTTCCCCTGACCTGTTAGCCCAGGGTCTGCCCCACCCACTAGAGGACTGATTTAATCCAGCTCACCCAGGGTAGGCAGCCCACCCTAGGGACTGGCCCCACCCAACAGCAAGCCCTCAGGCAACTTGTGGGCCCACATAGACTGGGTGGCTGAAACTTCTGCAGTCAGGTCAGTGGGTCCGCCTCTACAGTACAGGGCATGTGTGAGGAGTAGGTGGAAACTGTGGGGCCTCTTCAGTGGGGTGACTGGGTCCACTTCAGTGGGTTGGGGTGCATGCAAAGGGAAGGGCTGTGTTGATGGGATGTGTGGCCCTGTGGGTGGTGGGGCTGGTCAGCTGCAGCAGACTCGTGCTTCTCAAACAGCTACATAGGGGATCAGTACCACCTTGCAAAGCCTGAAACAATTGGGTGCTCTCACGCTTGGGGCCAGCCCCACTCAGTTGCAACCCTGAGAGAGCTAACAACAGCCTTGCAGGCCAGAGGCCTACAGCAGTGGTAAGCCCCTGAGCCTAGCAACCAGTCAAGCTGTGAGCCTACTCATTTAACAGAAAAAGTGCAAAAGGAAGGTGTTATTAGACCCTGCAACCAACTGTGCTGGGGAACCTCACACCCAATAAAGTGACTGAAGGGTCCATAGCAGCCACACACAGCTGAGACTTACAACCAGACAGCCAGGGGGCCTGCCTAGCCTCCCTGGGCAACTGCAGCAAGAGCAACCCTGCCACAACAAAGGACACATGTAGCCCACACAGGGGACACTCCTGGAACATTTGGAACTGGTGATGAGAGGGAAACACACTGCTGGGCCTCATAAGACATCTCTTACATAAGGCCACCTCTCCAAGATCAGGAAATGTAGCTGACTTACCTAATACATAGTTATAAGAACAGAGAAAGAGGAAAAAATAGGAGACAAAGGAATATGTTCCAAGTAAGGGAACAGAAAAAACTCCAGAAAAAGAACTAAATGAAACAAAAATAAACAATCTACCTGACAAAGAGTTCAGACAAAAAGTCATAAGGATGATCACTGATCTTGGGAGAAGAATGGATGAACTCAGTAAGAACTTCAACAAAGAATTGGAAAATATAAAAAAGAACCAATCAGAAATGAAGAATACAATACTGGAAATGAAAAATTCACTAGAGGACCTCAATACCAGAGTAGATGATACAGAAGAATGGATCAGTGTGCTGGACAAAAGACTAGAAGAAATCACTGAAGCTGACCAGATAAAATAAAAAGAACTGAAAAGAGTGAGGACAGTCTAAGGGACCTATGGGACAACATCAAGCACACTAACATCTGTATTATAGGTGTCCCAGAAGGAGAAGAGAGAGACAAAGGGGCAGAGAATCTATTTGAAGAAATAATAGCTGAAAATTTTCCTAACCTAAGGAAGGAAACAGACATCTAGGTAGAGGAAGTGCAGAAAGCACAAACAAGATAAACCCAAAGAGGCCCACACCAAGTCACATCATAATTAAAATGTCAAGAATTGAAGATAAAGAGAGAATCCTAAAAGCTTCAAGAGAAAGGCAACAAGTTACATACAAAGGAAACTCCATTAGGCTATCATCTGACTTCTCAGCAGAAACCTTACAGGCTAGAAGGGAGTGGCATGATATATTTAAAGTGCTGAAAGGAAAAAACCCTCAGCCAAGAATACTCTACCTGGCAAGGTTATCATTCAGAATGGAAGGAGAGATAAAGAGTTTCCCAGATAAGCAAAAATTAAAGGAGTTTATCACCAAGAAACCAGCCTTACAAGAAATGCTTAAGGGACTTATTGAAGTGGGAAAGAGAAGACCACAAATAAGAGTAAGAAAATTATCAAAAAAAAAAAAAAAGCAATAAAATCACTGGTAAAGGCAAATATACAGTAAAGATAGCAGATCAACCACCTATGAAGATAATATGAAGGTCAAATGACAAAAGTACTAAAATTATTTATTTCCATGATAAAAGGGTAATGGATACACATGCACAAAAAGAGGTTAGATGTGATATCAAAAACATAAATGTGGGAGGAGGGGAATAAAAGAGTAGAGCTTTTAGCAAGAGGTCAAAGAGACCATCAACTTAATATAGATTGCTATATATGTAGGTTATTTTATGTGAACCTCATGGTAATCACAAACTGGAAACCTATAACAAATACACAAAAAACTGAGAGAAAGGATTCCAAACATAATACTAAAGAAAGCCGTCAACCACAAGGGAAAAGAGCAAGAGAAGAAGAAAGGAACAGAGAAGAACTACTAAAACACCCAGAAAAAAAGTAACAAAATTGCAATAAGTGTATACTTATCAATAGCTACTTTAAATCTCAATAGATTAAATGCCCCAATTAAAAGGGATAGGGTGGCTGATTGGATAAAAAAACAAGACCCATATATATGCTGCATACAAGAGACAACTTCAGATGTGGACACAAATGAAAGTGAAGGGATGGAAAAAGATACTCCATGCAAATGGCAATGAAAAGAAAGCTGAGGTAGCAATAATTATATCAGACAAAATAGACTTTAAAACAAAAAGTGTAACAAGAGGCAAAGAAGGGCACTACATAGTGTAGTGATCAAGGGAACAATCCAACAAGAGGGTATAACACTTGTAAATATCTATGCACCCAACATACGAGCACCTAAATATGTAAAGCAATTATTAACAGATATAAAAGGAGAAAGAGATAGTGACACAATAATAGTAGGGGACTCGAACACTCCACTCATGCCAATGGATAGATCATCTAAACAGAAGTTCAATAAGGAAACATTGGCCTTAAACGACGCATTAGACCACATGGACTTAGTAGATATATACAGAACATTCCATCCAAAAACCACAGAACACACATAATTGTCAAATGCACATGGAACATTCTCTAGGATTGATCACATTTCAGGTCACAAAACAAGTCTCAATAAATTTAAGAAGATTGAAATAATACCAAGCATCTTTTCTGACCACAACGGTATGAAAATAGAAATCAACTACAGGAAGAAAATCAGAAAAGCAACAAATATGTGGAGATTAAACAAAATGCTCCTGAGTAATGATTAGATCAATGAAGAAATCAAAGGAGAAATAAAAAAATACCTGGAGACAAATGAAAATGAAAATACAACATGTCAAAATTTATGAGATATGGCAAAAGCAGTTCTAAGAGGGACGTTTATAGAAATACAGGCCTACCTCAACAAACAAGAAAAATCTCAAATAAACAATCTAACAGTGTACCTGAAGGAACTGTAAAAGGAAGAACAAATAAAGCCCCAAATCAGTAGAAGGAGGGAAACAATAAAAATTGGGAAAGTACCTCAACATAATAAAGGCCATATATGACAAACCCACAGCTAATATCATTCACAGTGGTGAAAAACTGAAAGCTATCCCTCTAAGAACAGGAAGCAGATGGATGCCAGAAAGGATGCCCACATTCACCACT